TCGCACCTCTATTACTTTCTCAACCTATTTAAGAGACGATAATAGTCTTATTTTAGCATAACTGATCCATAGTAGATAATTCCTCCTTACTTATGCTTAATTTATAAGGCTTTTGATGTCAAAATGTGTACAATTGACATTTTGTATCTAATCTTATTTACTACCTTTTAAAGGAAACGTCGAATGCTGGTATGATTATGAAAGTTGATAGATATAGTTTGCTCAACTTGAAACTTAGATCCTTCTCAAAGATAACTGATAATCTATATTTAGACAAATTTCTATCGAAAAGGTTTACTGCCACCCTATTTATATCGAGGTTATTATGTTCATTTCTAAAGTGATAGTGTAGAAAACGAGAAGACTGAGACGCAGGAAGGAATGATTATGATTAACATCTTGTACAACTTACACTAAGACAGTTATTTGCATAATTTCCTTCATTTCCTCTTCTACTTCTATCTCGATTGGCTGTTAATATGCCCACCCTATCTCTTGCGTTTCTGTGAGGAGAATCTTAACCGATTGTTGCTAATTGCCTATGATTTCTGCTGTCCTTTCAACAGATACTACTCATATCCATTGTGGTCAGTAGTTCTAATACACTCGTCCTCCATCAAAATTTCTGGTTTGCAGCCATGTTGGTCGTGTTGGTGCTATCTTCGTTTATTCCAAGTTTCGTACTCTGGGGCTGTTGCATCTCCAGCTCCCTGTCCGTTGGGTTGTCCAACTGTGACTTCAGGCGTTCAACCATTCTCTTCCAAGTCCCCGTCCCATCCACGTATTCTATGCCGGCATATACCTCTTTCGACCTGCCCCTCAGTAACTTGCTAAGCACATTGACCTTCGCTCCTGGATCTCGACTCAAAGTCCCTGAGGAGGGCCTTGATATCTCCATCATCGAATACTGCAGGCCACGGGATCTCCACTACGTCCAGAAGCAGTGACACCTATTGTAGTAAACGAGAAGACTGAGACGCAGGAAGGAATGATTATGATTGATATCTTGTACAACTTACACTATGGCAGTCATTTGCATAATGTGCTTCATTCCCTCTTCTACTTCTATCTTAATTTGCTCTTAATACGCCCATGGTGTCTCTTGCGTTTCTGTGAGGAGAATCTTTACCGATTGTTACACTTACAATACTAAAGCAAATTTCGCTTCTACATTGATTGGTAAGTGGAAAGGCAACCGATTTCATGTTTTCTAGTCCCCTAAGTGCTGATCAAATCCTAATGATCGGTTTGCAATGTGGCCATTAAGCTAAGAGACTGATCATCGTGGTGCATTTTGATGGATGTTAGTTGATCGAAGTCAATAAGCAGTACGCCTTCAATCTACATTTCATTCTTTTTGCCATCCATCAGCAATGTGTATCTGTAACTTTGAAGGAATTGATGTCCGCTGTGCTATTCGGACCGGCTTCATTCTGTGTTGTTGTCAGTGACGTCTACACTGATCCAAAGTGTCACATAAACTCGTTAAAAGCTGTTCACTCAATGAACATATGATACAATTGGTGATGATGAGGGATTGGTTCAAAAGGTAGTGATAGACAAGCAATCACTGATTTCAAGTGATGGAATAAGGGTCAAGTACTCCCGTAGAAGTGCAAAATGACGATAATGGTTATAAGTAAACGGAAGTATACAAAGCAAAGAAGTGAAACGAATTTAAGATAGTATTCATCATGGATTGGTATCAGTTGGAGGACCATTAAAAACTTGGGATCACTGACCATCTCTTTCGTCCTATCATGGGACTTCTCACCAGTGCGCATTCACGGCCGTGCCAGACATCGAACTCAGGACCTTCAGGTCTCACGGGATTGGCAAACTGACCGAAAAGAATTATTATGATCAGGGTTGAGAAAGGGGTTCGTAAACACTTTAGAGTGTATGTTTTTAGCTCTTGTTCATATATGACTAGTACTTCAGCTCTACATAAGTGTGGTGGAAACATAGATCTTGGAGTAGTTCAACTTACCTCTGTGTCTAATCAACAACCAATGCCATCAGGATGGGACAAATGATATGTAAATACAAAAGAATAGACTAAGTTCAGTTTCATATAAGTACCCTATTGGTTTGCTCCACTATGCAAGCTTAAACGGACGCGAGCACAAAAGAATTGCGGCACAGATGACCACATTGCAAGAAATACAGTTTTCCACTGATACAACTTTTTTGAAGTGGTGAACTGACACACTAAAAACATGTAGTTAATCATCCAGTTGCAATAATCATCCTCAGTGACCTTCCCGGTAGTAATTCTGAACTAGGCATATAAGAGAATACAATTATTACTGATAATTTGATTCAAATGGTTTCGCTATGATGAAGAATCTGTTGATACGGATATTCTGAAGCGTGATATATATATATATATATATATATATATGTGACGGGAAAATATATAGACTGTATAAACGCCTAATGATCTTCCTGAATGTGGTGAACTGGACTGCGTCATGCAACAAACTGTGAGGAGCAAGAAGACTGATATACGCGTTTCACCGATAAAAAAAACCCTAGGAGATTCGGATTCAGCCGGTCACGATTTATGTCATATATCTTATGTCGCACAAACTCGAAGACATACAGGCGAAGACCAACAAGTGGGCAGAACAAGCAAGGCAGCAAACATGTGACTTCCTTCAGGTTAACGTAGAGAGGACAAAGGTGATGAAGATACACAAAAAACAACAACAATAACAACAACCACCATCACAGTGGGAAACCTAAGCGAAGTTATAACTTTCACCTACCTATCTATCTACGTGCTTACCTACCTACCTACCTAACTACCTACACACCTACACACCCACCTAGGCAGCATCCTCTCAAATACAGGCGACACAGGCACACACAAGAATGTCAAAGCAGACGCGAATGGAAAGATATCAACATAGGCTTTTTTTCACTACTCTGAAATATTCAGTGTGGAGATCCATGGCACTACACTACACTGCACTGCACTACATTGCACTACACTTAATTCCACTACACTACACTCAGAATAAAGAGTGAACAACATCCAGACATCCCACACTCATCCAGTCAACTTGGTCAGTGCTTCCATGTGATGCTTAAGAGACTTGACACATTGCCAAAAGTATTTCCAACAAACTCCACACATACATCACATCAACATCAACAGCTAACAACCACACTCACTCCATATCGAAGATGAAGATCCGGAGACCAGAACGAATAAGCAAGGAGGAATTCTCACCTGTCAACAAACCAAACAACCAACAAACCATCACTCAACAAATTTACAGAAGAAAGAAGAGAGTGTAGATGGATTAGATTGGACATAGACTGAGAAGACAGTCTGGTGACATCACGTGCCAGTCAACGCCAGGTAACACCAAGCTGTCGAGTGGAATCCAAATCGGAAACCACCAGTCAGGCGTCCGAGGCAAGGTGAGGTTGACATGGAGGAGATTGTGTGAGGAAGAAATAAAATCTTGTGAGCAGTGGTGGAGTCAAATTAGGATGACGACAGAGACGAGAAGAGAGTGGAATGGAGACGTGCTATTGAAGCCCAATATCCCACTAGGAACCAAAGCGAAAATAATAATAATAATAATAATAGTAATACAATAAATATCCTCAAGTAATCTCATTTCCAGCAAAGTCTAATATTAACATAGCATATCCACAGAAGGGCAGTAAGTATCCTTTCGGTTGAATCTACAAAGAAAATTAGATACATCTTAGTTCCATATTAGATTTGTTGATTTGATATAAAGCGCACAGTGATACAGTATTATTTACTTGATTACGTTTCGAGCATAAATTATTGCTCATAATCATATGATATGATTATGAGCAATAATTTATGCTCGAAACGTAATCAAGTAAATAATACTGTATCACTGTGCGCTTTATATCAAATCAACAAATCTAATATGGAACTACATTCTACCACAGTGCCCAAGTTTTTCACTTATATTATAGATACATCTTAGTTATTCCCTAATTGAGTGTGAAGAATTTAGAATTATTGATTGAGCACTCAACATCAAATGAGATGCGAACTGTAACGAAATTGATCTCAAATGATTCAGTTTTGCCATCACTAAATATCTTTCTACCCTCACACATTAACATAGTAATCAGTCACATTATTCTTCAATGATAATAGTGATAAATTATTTGGTTGTGGTTAGCAGAGGAATTCAGGATGTATATTTCATCCTATTTAGAACTCGTCAGCTTGACACACCTATACCCTAGTGTGTGGTGATGTCATCCCCATGCTTATCCATCGCTTCAAATACCAATGCGTTAGCCACTAAGAAACAATATTCATCAAGTAAGAGATAAATTATTATAATGAATATCCAGACAATATCGAGACATGTATGCAGGAGCCCGTAAACAAATACAGGTCAAATAATTCAACTCATTAAGACAACAGTAATAAAAGTTCGAATAGCGATAATCATGTTTACAGTAGAGAATTGTCAGCATATGATATTGTATCGGTTTATCCACTGTATAATATTTTCATTTACATATTACCATTGGTGTCGTTTTAACAGTACATTGTATGAGAAAGAAATGAATGCCCTATGTTTTATTAAGTACTCAAATGACAAGTTATAATAAACACTTAGCATAGTTCAAGTTGTTATTCATCGAAGACTGACATCAGTTGGAGGAACAAAAGAAATCTGGGAGCACTGGACAGCTGTTTCGTCCGACTAGTATGGGATTCCTCAGCAGTGCGCACCCACGACCCCACCAGCAGGGATTGAACCCGCGACCTTCAGGTTCCGCGACCAGCGCGTTACCATTAAGCCACACTTAGCATAGTGTTATAAATTTAATGACTACATACTTCATTGTACTTCATGCTTATTGAAATTTTTGAGTATTAGAATCATCTATTTAGATATTAAAAAGTTAAAAGGGATACACTTTGATAAGATTATATTTAATTATTTCATTGTTTTTTTTGTTTTTTTTTTTATTCTATTCTCCAGGGTAAAGATCTTAAAAATTATATGCGAATGTATAATAATTATTTACCAATGAATTTGGTTCGATTATTCACATTTCAAATATTTCGAGGATTAGAATATTGTCATGCAAAACAAATTTTACATCGTGATCTTAAACCACAGAATTTATTGATTAATAAAAATGGAGATTTAAAATTAGCAGATTTTGGTAAGTAAAACAAAGAAACATAGAAATGATTGAATTCTTAGCGTTACAATTGTTTATTCATTACTTCTAAATCTAGTGTTTCAGTGATTTCTACCTCTGTCAATGATCAATAGTATGATCAATGTCCAATTCTGTTGAAGAGTAATTATTTTCAAGCTAGATTTGACTGGAACCTCGCTTGGTTAACTAGTTCACTAGTTATTAGCCGGTCCTAAGCCGGATAAAGAGGGAAGGTTGGGCATAGGGCTAGCAACCCTATCCCGTAAAACAAATCTAACCGCTAAAAAAACTTCACAAACGAAATATAAAAAATAAAAACAAACTTATTCCCCGCTGGAATCGGAGAGGCGAAATGACGCCAGTTGGTGAAAGCCTTCGGGAAGCCAATTGGCCGATGTGTCTTCTCTCGATGAAAGCGAAAGTAAACGTGGGGACATGGAATGTCCGCATCATGTTTGAACCCAGTAAGGCAGCCCAGATTGCAAAAGAGATGAGAAGGTATCACATTGAAGTGTTTGGAATTTGCGAAAGCAGATGGAATGGGAGTGGACTCTTCAAACTGGAGAATCAATAATCTACTCCGGTCACCCAGACGATAACCGTGAGCAGGAGGAAGTGGAGATGGATTGGGCATGAACTGAGAAGGCCGACTGGGGACTTCATGCGCCAGGCCAGGCAATCGAGTGGAATCCCGATGGGAAGCGAGGAGTTGGACGTCTGAGGGATGGTGACATGGAGGAGATCGTGCGAGGAGGAAATGAGAGCTTGTGGGCTGTCGTGGAACCAGGTTCAAAAGATCTCAGAGAACAGAGGTCACTGGAGACGTGCTACTGAAGCCCTATTTTCCACTAGGAACCCAAGGAACTAATAATAATAATAATAAGATTTGACTGACCTAATGCATCATGGCCTATCATGAGAACTTTATGTAATCAACTTAGAACTAAGTCAGATTGAAAGCCAATAACTGAGTAGTAGTCTGTTTGTCATGAAATCTAATGACTTGAGGTTCAATATGTCTTTAATCAGTTAGCGGGTAAAGCGAATCAGCTGTTTTTGTGGTCCCATGTTTTTTACTGGCAGTCTGAATGACATTGATTGGTGACAAAAATCACCTTAAAATCAATTAATTCTTCATAAACCACCAAATTTTATTGATTTCCAGAAAAATCTTTCGGTTCATTTTTTACATAAAAAAGCGCAAATTGTCTGATATAACTCAGCATCTACTCTTATGTTTCATTACTTCCTGTTATTTGTCTATAATCAGTCATTATTTTCCTCTTATTCTTTCCTGGACTCCGGAAATAGAACTATATTGTATTGTGTAGGATTTTGGGGACTGTTATAGAGCAAGCGGTATATCACCAAACGTATGGATCGATGCAGTCATGGATACGAGTCTGAACTCTTATAGACTACAAAATTTTATCTGATAACAAGTATCCTTTGCATCTGCACCTCTCTTCATGTCTGGTTTCAGAGAAGACAAAAAAGAAATACATTAAACTCTTTGCCTGCAAAAACTACATACAGAATTTCAATCATACCATCTTATTTAGATTGTGAATTGTAGGAAAAAAGTTCTGCTAGACACAATCTGATCAACCAATTTCACAATGGCAAATAATTATCATAACCCTGAAATCATTAGGCATTTCAACAATCGTCTCATTCCTTATTATGTACTGTTAAAACGACACCATTGTTAATATGTAAATGAAAAAATATTATACAGTGGATAAACCGATACAATATCATATGTTGACAGTTCTCTACTGTAGACATGATTATCGCTATTCGAACTTTTATTACTGTTGTCTTAATGAGTTGAATTATTTGACCTGTATTTGTTTACGGGCTCCTGCATACATGTCTCGATATTGTCTGAATATTCATTATAATAATAATTTATCTCTTAACTTGATGAATATTGTTTCTTAGTGGATAACGCTTCGGTATTTGAAACGATGGATAAGTGTGGGGATAACATCACCACACACTAGGGTATAGGTGTGTCAAGCTGACGAGTTCTAAATAGGATGAAATACACATCCTGAATTCCTCTGCTAACCACAACCAAATAATTTATCACTATTATCATTAGAGAATAATGTGATTGATTACTATGTTAATGTGTAAGGGTAGAAAGATATTTAGTGATGGCAAAAACTGAATCATTTGAGATGAATTTCGTTACAGTTCGCATCTCATTTGATGTTGAGTGCCCAATCAATAATTCTAAATTCTTCACACTCACTTAGGGAATAACTAAGATGTATCTAATTGTCTTTGTAGATTCAACCGAAAGGATACTTATTACCCTTCTGTGGATATGCTATGTTAATATTAGACTTTGTTGAAAATGAGATTACTTGAGGATATTTATTGTATTACCATTACTATTATTATTATTATTATTATTTTTCGTTTGGGTTCCTAGTGGGATATTGGGCTTCAATAGCACGTCTCCATTCCACTCTCTTCTCGTCTCTGTCGTCATCCTAATTTGACTCCACCACTGCTCACAAGCTTTCATTTCTTCCTCACACAATCTCCTCCATGTCAACCTCACCTCGCCTCGGACGCCTAACTGGTCGTTTCCGATTTGGATTCCACTCGATAGCTTGGTGTTACCTGGCGTTGATTGGCACATGATGTCACCAGACTATCTTCTCAGTCTATGTCCAATCTAATCCATCTACACTCTCTTCTTTCTTCTGTAAATTTGTTGAGTGATGGTTTGTTGGTTGTTTGGTTTGTTGACAGGTGAGAATTCCTCCTTGCTTATTCGTTCTGGTCTCCGGATCTTCATCTTCGATATGGAGTGAGTGTGGTTGTTAGGTGTTGATGTTGATGTTGAAACTTTATTATTTTTTAAAATTTTTTGGAAAGTTGACAATTTTCGATATAGAAGGTTACAGAATCCCTTTTTTACTTTTAAAAAATGAAAAGGTTTATCTTAAGAAAAATTGGTTTGCTTTTTTAGTTACATTTATCTGGTATTGAAGTATATTCACTGATTACAGCAATATTTAGATAGTATTTTTGTTTTATGCATGCTAACACTTTCACTACGAACGATACAAACTTAACGTGCAACCAATCGTCTCTAACGCGAATCATAACATCAACCGCTACCACTACAACAATACCACGGAAGTTCATAGATAAGAAGAGAAAACAGACCGTTGATACAGAGCTTCTGTTTGTAAAGTCCTCTTTGAACAAGCCTTCATTTCTGCGAAACTATGTATCGAAGGTTATGTTTGCATCTGAGTCACAGACGAACTCGGAGATGTTGCTACTAACGTTATCATTGGCTGAAGATGAATCAACTCAGGAAGATATCCGTTAACCAGTAAGAAACTTCACCATTTTAAGGCACTGCTTCACCAGTTTCTGCAAGCGTGATGGGTCCATTTCAAAAGAGACCGGTAGCCAATTTTTGTGTGTATTACTTGGTCCTTGTGGGTGCCTATTCAAATTGTCCCGAGATAGTTCCGACTACACCATCCACCAGCAGCTAAACTATAACATGACATAGTATTTTAGAGTATATTGTATCTCGCAACGGTAGCCAATTCACGCCTTAAGTATTTCAAGATTTCTGTTTTTTTAATGGTATACAACACATGCGGACGCCATTATACCACCCTCAATCCAACAGTTAGGCAGAACAATTTATGGATACATTCAAAAGTGTAACATTTCAGTATATTTCACTTCTCAAGTAAGTTAGTGCCCTAGAGGATGTCAACAACCTTGGTTACGAGATAAGTCATTAAACAGAGTTCATTTATGTATTTTCCCGTTTTTTTCTACATTTCCGTGCTAATATATGACTCATCAGAGATGTGCACTCACGACACTGCCAGAAATCAAGATCAGTGATTGGACTTCGCAGCCCAGTTGGTACAGCACCGGGCCAGCAACCCAGTGGTCATTGGTTCGAATCCGTCAGCGGTCCAGATTTTCATCTCACCTCCAATCACAACCCAGTATCAATAATAGTCTATCAAACTACGGCTATCTCATCCAGATAGTCAAATGATAATTCATATGATGCTCCTCCTCTCATTCTAATCCAGTTAGACTGGGGTTTGGGATGAGAAGTCCTGGCTAGACAGCCAGTGTGAATACGATCAAGAGATAGTAATGCACCACGAATTCACATGGTACTCAGGCAAAATCCTTAGTGATTGAAGTGAAATAAAAATCTGCTCAGCAGCTGGACCCCGTAGGTAAGTTGACAGAGGATAGGGCAGGAAACCTGGTGATCACTGGCTCGAATCCGGACGCGGTTCAGATTTACATTTCACCCTCAATCATCACCTAGTTAAATGACCACAACCGTCAGAACTCATGATGGGCACATTAAAATTCGAACCACTGAGTTAGCATCTAATGCCGTACTGATTTTTACTGCTGTCACTTGGTGATGTAGTGCGATCATCATTCAGTGCAGTTGCCTAAAGCCTGGCGTCGACGACCTAACAGATCATGGTTTCTCATTAGAAGTTTAAGAAATCCATCTCGAGTCGTGTCATTGTTGAGCACTTGGCAGCAAATCCGTTTCAGATTTTATTAGGCATCTATTATTCATTACTGATGGATAGTCGCTGGCAGAAGAATCCAGTACGTGCATTTCGTTCTATTCGGGACTTTTCAACCGGATATAGATGTTTCTCAGTCATTGATATTGTCCCCACTGAGACTCGAACTCCATACCATCGCTTCAAACACCAAATTATTATCCACTAGACCACGCAAATAAGATGAAACGAGCGTCAAGCTGGATTCCACTGCTAACCACTATCCATCATTAATATATATGATTAAAACACAGGCAATATCGAGGCATCCTCACAGGAGCTCATATACTAATAGAGACCGATCAACTTGGTTTAATCAAGGATGGGATACTACAAATAATAACATTAAACTTAGTATATAATCCGTTTTCTAGGCTGTTAGACATCTTTTTAGTTCTTCAATGA